GAAAAACTAATAGCCACCTAAAAAGCCTTAGAAAGACAGACAAAGCAAACAAAACAAAAGCAGACTAAGAGGGCAAGAAAGAAAGATAGGGGTAGTTACGAGGCCCACTTAGTTAAATGAAAGTAGAGCGCGAGCGGGACATTTGTCTTAAACCGCCCGGGTAGCTAGCAATAGGCTAGGAGAAACAGAAGGAAAGGCACCAACACACAAGTGTGTTGAGTGCGATTTCCTTCTGTTTCCCGAGTAGCGGGTGGGGTAGCAACGGAGGCCCAGGGGTAGGGAGGGGAAAAATGCACGATTAATTCATCCGGCCTGTGAATACTTAGCAGCACACGCACATGTGAATACTTAGCCGTCAAACATCTCAAAAAAACAGCAAGTGTTGCAGGACTGTCAGTTCCCGTGGTGAGGCCCGGCAGCCTTTGTGGCAGTTAATTCAGTGGTTGTGTCGGTGACTTCCGGTGGAGTTCCTGTGAGAAGTGGTGAGGTCAGTTAGTGCTTGCACGATGAGACAGCGCCCCTATGACGGGGATCACACTCAGCACCCGAGTGGGACGGCTGAGCGAAACACACTCTGACAATTGTATTCAGTTAACTCAGTTCCCACGTTGGGAAGGAAGGCGATGGAACAGCAAGGTGGCAAAGTCCGTTGAAAAGTATTGTTGAACATTGTTCAAATCGGCTGCGAGACGATCAAAACGGCGGCGCAGCTGCTGGGGAAGAGTAGGTTTGTGGGAGGTATCATGAACAACCTGGGGAAGAGATTGAAAACTGGCGCAGGTACGTCCAGAGAGCGTCCTCTCTGAATATCACATCCGATCAGCAGCGTCTTTGTTAGGCAGTGACTGCTGAAAGGATCACTGCCCCCCTGCTGGTGGAAATTGCTTTCAGGGTGGAAAACGGGGGGGAAAAAAGAAAGTCCGTAGCGGTGAACCCTTGGTCCAGGGGTTGACACACACAACACACACACACAACAACCTTCGCGCCAAGCGAACATTAGAAAAAATAACTATAGGGACTTCCGTCCAAAAAAAAACTTTATACCATGACTCTCCTTTGGAGACACGCCCAGACGCCGTCCACTTAGGCGGCGAGGGCGAGGCCTCGGAGGTCGCGGGCGACGAGTCCACTGAGACGAAGAGCGAGGTGCCGGACGAGGGCGAGAAGAGCGGCAAGGAGACCGATGGGGAGAAGGAGAACGAGAAGGAGGAGGAGGACCCGAGGGTGGCTGGATGGGAGGAGTAGAAGGGCCGGTTTTGTTGGGAGGAGTTGGACGGTGTTTTTGGGCGGGTTCTGGGACACCCGAAGAAGAACGAGTGAGTTCAGGATGATGCAGATGGGTGATTTGTAGTTTGTTATATGGAACAGTCCTACCAATCCTGGACGGACCATAAGAAAGGATGCCGCAAGTGGGTTATGACATGGTATATTGCGATGATATATCATGTTACGATGTTTTGGGGTCACGCCCATGTTTGATCATGTTTTTGTTTTATCAGACCGTCAATCAGGGTCAGGCGACCCCAGCGCTGACAAGGAACGCGAACACGATTCTGGGTGAGAAGCAAACCCCTGAGAATGAAACCGAATGGATGTAAAAGGGCATGGAAGAACCACGTTATGTAACTGTTTTTGTTTCCTTCCAAAAGCTACCCCCGTATGACAGCCCCTTGAGCACTAAAGGTGGGGTTCCACAAGGGGAATGCACAGATCTGTTGACCAGCTACATCGCGCTACCCAGAAACAGGGAAGGCTTCCTCATTGCAGAACACCGACATCCCAAACAGCAGGCGCAACACTGTTCCACAGACAAAGTGGAGCACTTTCCCTGCCCTTCAAGACGTTACACATCACCATATACAATGATGTTTTGTCCATCTCCAAATATATGTATATATATATATATATATATTAAATTGACCCCCAGGCCACCAGACCACCGGTTCTTCCATTCACACCCACTTGCGGCTGTTGTCGGTTTGTTAGCACCTTCACAGCCGAAAAAAACATACCATCCCAGACCATCCTTTTTTGAAATTATATATTATGGCCTTACTTTATGTAGGTATATGAAGATAACTATTCCATGCATGGTCAACTGGTCCATGTCGCTTGAGGGCCACCTGAGATGGCTACATCCGTCAAGCGCGACGGTCTTTGAAAGGGTCGACTAAACATTCAGTGCCTCCGAGGGAGAAGTCCATGCGACCCTGATGTCCAATGTTTGTTTGGATTTAATCTGCGATGGAAAAGCCCAGGAAAAACATGAATTGTCTATGGTGTTGATTTGGCAAGATGTGAGTCGACGGAGATGGGCGTGTTCCACGTTCGTCAAAGTGTTTGTGTTCTAGGAGTCGACGGAGGTTGGTTTCACAAGCTGTCCTGTCCTCCCGGTGCTGTGCGGATGCATTGGTTGAGGCAAAGGTCAAGTGATAAAAATCAATGGCATGATGCTTGATTGTTTCGTACGGATGTCTTTGGGAGGGTTAGGATTCCCCCAACAGCCTTTTTGCAGACATTCTTGAAGGCATGTTGCCAGAAGTTTACATGACCTGAAACTCGGCAGGATGCGAAGGATGAGTCTGGCACTGCAGCTGATGACAAGTAGATGCTGAAAACAGACAGGTTGGCCCTGTGAGCAGTGCAGAAGGTTGCTCCAGCTGCCAGGGCTTTGCTGTCATTTCTTGCAATCTCTAGCATTCAGTTCAAAACTCAGCAGCATCCTGACTACAACCCAACTAACCTTGGAGTTGAGGAGAGCCCTCCAGCCCAACACAGAAACTCTCCAGCTTTCTAAGCCGCATCCGCCGGATGCGCATTCGACCATCAAAGACTCGCGCCGCGGCCTTGGCGACGCAACAAAGGACGTCGGCGGGTTGGGGAACGTTCGCCACGGAGGTCAACTGGAGAAACCGGGCTCCAGTCGTACATCAGGTTCGGTACGACTGGACCCTCCAAACCCACCCACCCCAGTCCCACCTTCAAAGGCACTTGGTGGAGCTCGCAGTGGAAAAGGTCTAGTCTTCCCAAATGGTCTGACTTTGACATCGTCAACATAAGAAACTGGCCGTTTTTTGCAGGTCGCCCAGTGCCCAGCTGTCCCCTAAAGCCCTGAACAATACCGTTAAGGGTGTCCAAGCAAAAACCCATCCAACTCATGCCTTGTGGGCCTTGTGGAAGTTGTAGTTTAGCATCTATCCGTGAATGACCAACAGCAACAAGCTAAGTGTGTGTTTTTTCCACCTTGAAATGATTCTGGCAGATCATCTCCTTGGACTGTGCGGACTGCATCACACATGCTGACCGGCAGTCGGCACATTCCTCACGGTGCATTCTGTTGATTTTCTGAGCCCCAAGAGGAATGACCCTTCACTCCGGTGACTCTCATTTTGTGATATTTTGTGTAAGGTCGACTAGCGCTGACCTCGGTCAGCGCTAGCCGACGGCTACCCGACGGCGACCCTCCCGTTCCGAGCTACCGTTCCCGTGGATTTTGGATCATGTCCGGCAAGCCCAGGCGTATGGTTATAGCGGTCAGAAATACAACCGAGACATGCACCAGTGCAGCGCCTGACTTAACTCATAATGTGTGTAAAATTGTTGGGCTTGTCCCATTCCTACTGACAGTCCTATGTGGCTCTACCCGCAATTCATTTAAGGACTCCTTACTAATCATCATCATCCGCTAGTGAATCCTAGTGTGAATCCTATACCTGAATCACAAGATGTTCTGCAGAGATGATGCTCGACTGATCTTCGAGGTGGCCAGGTTGCCTCAAAGTCAAACCCTGATGCCTGCAGCGTCCAAGCCAAATCAATGCAAAAACACCTGGGTCAGGGGAGAAAACCACGGTTCTTAGATGGAAAGAACCCCTGGGATGCCATGATCGAGTGTGGGGGTCTTGAAATCATCACTCCAGCTCCGTGCGACCAAGAACTGCTTCAACCGATGAAAAGACCTCCCAGCATCCAGTGAACTCCCAACTCGGCGCCGTGCCGAACCGCGCGCGAAAGTGCAGGTGGTGGAGATGCCCTTGCTGCAGCCCGAGCGCTTTGTGGCGCTGGGTATTGATCCTCCGAAGGCGACCGTGATGCGGTTTTGGAGGGGAAGGGTAGTCAAGGGATTTACACCCTGGAAAATTGGAACCTGAAAACCACAAGGGTCCATTTTCAGGTTCCATGTCGCAGTGATTACACCATGCTTCCCTAGCATGAACCCTGAGAATTGACGGAGACCATTTTCCTCGATCACCCAGTGGTTTTGCGAGTCCATTTGCGGTGATTGATTGTCGTGGTTTAGTTTGGGGGTGAATGGGAGGTGGTGGTTATAATGTGTGGGACAAGTAGGAATAATGCTTATACTGTATAAGGCTTATGGGACATGGTTGCCCTACCCCAAGGCCTAAAGCTATAAACAATGACCGGAGACGGATGGAATTGAAAGGACGTCCTCATCCTCCAAAGCCGCTGTTCGTGGGTTGCGATGCTTGCGACTGATGAACCACAACCACCTTGCAACCGAATAAGTGGCCAAGTCAGATGGGTGTGCTTAACAGGGAGATCCCCAACCAATGGATTTTTGTCTACTATCCTTCTTCCAGGGAATCGAACTGTGGGGTCACACTCAGATAAAGGAAATATGAAAACTCCTAGTCCTAGTCAAGGCCTGGTTGACGCAGGTGAGAGAGGGACTCAGCAAGGTGCCTTTTCTCTCTGTCACACTCGACAGGGTGTGCTGCTCTATGGCCCACCGGGCACCGGCAAGACCCTGACAGCACGAGCAGTCGCGAACCGCCGGAGCCTGAGAGTTGGATTTTAGCAAAAGGAAAAAGCTCTGGAGGGTTTGGAAGATAGTTCTTTTTGGCCGGGTGTTTACATGGGCGGCTCTCAGACGCCTGGGCTGTGCCTCTTTCCTTTGATGGACCTCTTCCAGTACCTCTTCCCTAAGCTCCAAGCATGGATCTTCTGTTGACATCAAATCAAGACGCGTTGGTTTCACCCTACAGCAGAGTCGTTATTGAACTTCCTTGCGCAACGCGCGTAGAAAAACGCACTCGTACCTACCGCGCGGTGCAGCGACAACGTCCGGGCAGCGCACGTCCGCCGCAGCCAGGCACCGACGCGTGCTTCATTTGCGTCATCGGATCCGAGTTGGTGCAGCGCTACGTGGGCGAGGGCGCACGCATGGTGCGCGAGCTCTTCCAGCTGGCGAGGACGGGTAGGGTCCTTTCTTGAGACCCTTGGCCCCTGAAGATCATGTCAAGTCGATTCACTATTATATATAATTATAACACCTTTATGATCTAGGACAAAAAGCCTAAAACCAAGGGATTCGTTGTTTGCTCAATTCTTTTACAGTTCTTGTGTTTCCACTGACATGGGGGGGTTCATAAGCAGCATCACTCATGGATGGAGAAGATAAAGTGATTGAACCCACTCCCCCATGGCTGATTACTATTTGTTTGTTTCTGAAATGAGAGGTGTCTGGTTTAGTTAATAATCATGTGGCATTTGTTGGATGACGTGAAATTAAACATGGGCATGAGTGAGAAACAATGGGCCTGGGGAGTACGGTGTTTTGTTCATCCTTTCGGATACAAGAGTGCATGAATCAGAAGGTCCCCGTGCTTTCTGGCCCGACATGCATGATAAGCTACCCGGATTTGCTATTTGGTCATGCGAAATTGCAGTCAGAATGCTCTTGGGCTTAAAGACCTCACCTGAGCGGTTTCTCAGCCGAGCAGCTCGATGCTTTCTGACTGAGAGTGGTGGTGAGCGGGTTTTTGACACTCGAAATCCAACTTTTAGCACAGTCGTCATGGTTTATCAGCTTCCCAAATGATACACTGTTTATACAGGGCATTGGGGATAGGTTCCCAATGAGTCCTTCGTGATGTTCCAACGGTGTTCAGCTTTCCAGAGCCGATGGCGGTTTTCTTGGAGTGCGTGGGAGGACCAAGAAGGCTTGCATCCTCTTCATCGATGAGGTGGATGCCATTGGCGGTACCCGTGGCGGTGATGAGGGCAACAGCGATAGTGAGGTGGGGTCCGGCTGGGTGATTAGGAGAGGTTTCTTTGGGCCCCCAAGAAGATGAATCCATTGGCGCTTGATGGTTTGATCTGGTTTCTCTGATGTGCATCTCATCACTTGCAATATCATCCCCCTATCTCTCCAAAAACCAGGGAGACCTTGGAAAAGGTGGCAAAAGCTGCTCAACGTTGCCGACTTCATCAGGTGCAGCGGACCATGTTGGAGATTGTCAATCAGTTGGATGGCTTCGACTCGCGCGGCAACGTCAAGGCGCGAACGGAGACGTCGTGCGGACCGTGTGAGGAAGGGGTGGAGACATGGCAGTGGAAAAGATGGAGTGTTCAGAGCATCTGGCTGTATAGGATCTTCCGGCAACTAACTGGATGTCCATGTTTCAAACCATGTTCCATTGTCTTTCTTCAACAGAAGACCTTCATTCTCCACCTCCGCATTCGCCATGGGCGGTCGTTCTCGCCAGTTCAGGTTCTCATGGCCACCAATCGACCCGACACGTTGGATCCTGCGCTGCTGAGACCGGGGCGTGCCATGGCGCAGGGAGCTTTTTGTGCGGAGCACCGACTGAGAAGCAGATGGAAGAGATTCGGAGCCCCAAAACCGGGTTCATGGGGTTCATTGGAGGAATGGCATGGTTTAGTCCATGGGATCGTTTGTGACGAAGAAGGGGGGGGGTGTTGATCGTGGGGCGATGTTGAAATGGCTGGAGAAAGGAGAGACCCCAGCTGGACTACACAAGACCGTCACGCAGAAGTCGTGATTTTGCGAGGACCAACGGGATGGTCCAGGTAGATACCGTAGACATCCGTAGACCATGATAGACCTATCATATACACCCTATAGTAGATCCCTATAGTACGCCCTAGCTTTTGCTCTTGACCAAAATCGTAGAAGACACATGAATACACCGTGCGTACTCTCACAAAACACATACTCTCGCATCCGAATGGCGGCCCATCTATCCCGACCCCCGACCGACCCTCCGGTTCATGAGCTGCTCGCTTTGAGCGAGCGAGCGAGGCTCGCGTTCCGTTTTCGAGGTTTGGACCGGAAGATCGAATTTGGACTTCCGGACTTGGAAGGCCGCACACATATCTTCAAGATCCATGCCAAGCAGCTGAGCGAAGAACGGAATGGAACGCTGAAATGTGAGAGCGCAGGGAAGAACCATTGAATCTTCCAAAGCTCCCAGAATTGGGGCCTATTTGGGGCCTATAAAACAGCGAGCCACGCCAGGTTCAGCAGACATGGAAGATGTTTGGCGTATTAGATGGTTTAAAGGACTCTGAAGAGTGGCCAGCGGTTCTTTTTCTGACTACCTATAGGCAAGTTTCTTTGATGCAATGTGAGGAAGAGTCAATAATGGGCTATTGTGTCCATCATGTTTTTGTTTGACGCATCCTACTTGGCCCTATTTTCCATCAACACGGTGTCATGGGTGTAGAAATCGCAAAGCACCTGCCGCATGCAGGAGCCTCTCCCCAAAAAAGGAAGACAGCTCAGTGGCTTGGGGGAGCCCTTTGAAGACCTTAGAAGATGCATAATTAATGTAGACGTTTATACGTTTGATGAATAACATCTCCATAATGAAGAGGGTATGTAAGCGAAATGGGGTGTATTAATCAAAAGTCGACATGACTTTTGAATGAGGCAGGCCGCCAGCTGCTTTTTCTGCTCAGGACTATGGCAATTGATCGTGATGTCCGTTTCGAGCTCCTGGCGCGACTCTGTCCCAACACCACAGGCAGCCGTTGGCGGAAGCGGGACATGGAAAAGCTGGATGGAATGGAAGTAGAGTGAAGCATTGGCAACTGAAACCAAGGGGGAAACCCCGAAACAATATCCGAAACATCCGCAGCGATGGTCTTCCTGGAACCGTTCGCTTGTAGAACATACGGTGAAAGTACCTTACCTTTCAGAAGTCGAAGTTCCTTCTAGAGGCCCCATCTGCAAAGTTAGCTGTTCGCATGTCTTAGCAAAAGCACCGGATGAGTATGGATGAGTGAGGATCATTGTCATCAGATAAGAACAGCGGTGTTGTATCAACACCCCAGTAAACGGGCACGGTCTCGCACACCCAGCCGCTCCACCTCGCTCCTTGGGGGGAGCTGAGAAACCGCATGACACGATGGTGCTGAATTAAACTCCGCTAGGCTAAGCCTATGCTGAGCCACGAACACATGGACAGCCATTGATTGACTGGTCTGTACCAAACTACCACAAGTCCGAAAGCCACTGACCTAGCAAAGCGAGATACAGTGTTATGAAGGAGCGGCCGAAGGGGAAGTGACCAAACGCTACAACTAACTAAGGCCCGTGCCAAGTCCGAATTAAGCGACCGACTAACGAGATTTCAAAATGATCGTTATGATTTTTGCCCACAAAATCAATCCTTTCTTTTAAAGTTGGTCTTTCAAAGCTCGGGAATCCCCTGGATGGAAGCCCACAGGGCTTCTCCTTCAACGGCACCAAAACAGCGCCCGTGTCACGTTGCAGTGCCACCCAGCCGCTCCACTCCTCCTCTCGCAGGAGCTGAGTGCCGCAGCGTGTGCACGGAAGCGGGGATGTACGCGATCCGGGCGCGCCGGAAGAGCATCTCTGCCACTTGGGATCGGACCGATCGGAGACCGATCAGGTGGAGCAGGTGGGTCGGAGAAGGTCGGGGGACCGGCATTTGTAGAGACCAGGGAGGGATTTAGGATGTAACATCACCCCAGATTTCCTTCGAACAGAGGTGGAGATGATGCAAGGATGCGGAAGCACTGTGAGCCTTGTTTGGTGGGTGGGTGTAGGAAGAAGAGGGCACACCAAGGTGGAATCGAGTGGAATCGGGATCGTCAATGTCCAGGAATTCGATTGCATCCAATCCGTGGCCCAGTGGCTTTGTTCGGGATGGGGTTGCTGGTTTGCACACTCACTGATTTGCGCCCGCATTTCACAGTCCCAACATGTCCCAACATACTGATGCATCCAATCCTTGTCCCCGTTGACGGGTTGGAATCCGGCAGAGTCGGATGATTGGTGTGGGTGAAAAATCAGGCGGCGGATTTGTGACGGCGTCAGTGGTAGACCATGCAGTAGACCATGGATGACCCCATCATGGCCAAAGACTGGAGTAAGACCCACCCACTCCATGAACTCATCATAGAAAGTGAAATTTTCTGGAGTAAAGGGAGTGGGTAGGTCTGACTCCAGTCTTTGGCATTGCCCCATCGCCGGATGCCGAAACCCCCTAAGGAGAAGGACCTCATCGATGCCATCAATAAGGCGATGCCGGAGAAACTCCACAGACTGCGGAAGGGACAGGAAAGCGATTGAAGAGTAGATGATAGCGGGAGTTTGTGGACCAAGATGGATCAAGCTTCGCACCTTGCACACCAGCACACTGTGCATATTTTTTGCCCAAGCAGACCAAGCAAGAGACATGTTTGCTTCAAGACTTCGTCTACCTTTAGCTTGCATTTTCAATTGCTTGAGCTTGTTCCAGAGGAGTTTCCAGAGGATATTGTCATACATGTTTTGCATTATTTTCCAGGTAAGTTGTTTCTCCCAGGTAGGCCGTGATTGAGTTCAAAAAACACTGAGGAGCTCCCAGTCTTGCACTAACAACCTTGGATGCCTTTGGAGGGGGAAGTCCTACAGAGAACAAAGCCTCACCTGGAAAGGGCTTCCCGCTGTTGTGTTTTTCATCAACGCCCATGCAATCTAATGGCCTTTAAGTTTGACTACCCATTGCAACCTGGCCTGGCCCTCAACCGGACAGTTTCCCTGGAAAGTCCTGTTACAAGCAGTTCCCGGCCAGGTCATCAAAGGCTACTCGAAGTTCTCGGCCACGCCAAAGTACATGGTCTACAACTGAGTTCGCCCAAGGCGCTACGTTTAGGCTGCGGCAGCTCCCTTTTTCAGGCCATGATTTGATGCCCAAGAATGCTTCTCCAGCAGGTTTGGCAAAAAATCGTACTTCATGGAAGGTGTTCTTTTGGAAAATCACCGTGAAACGGAGGTGTTTCTTTGCTGCTTCATCGTGGGCCTTTTGGGAGCCAAGAATCAAGCACCTGCCCCACTATGAAGAGACGACTGATGGTGCCGCTGGCACCGGTGCCGCTGGCACCCGCCCAGTGTGAGCGAACAGAAGCACAGTGGGACAAAAAGACTTCAGCTGAGAACGAGGGAGTTGGAGATCCAGTTGGAAACTGAGAAGCTGACGGTCTACAACAGAGACCGCCGGCGGTCTCTAACTTGTGCATAATGTGTGTTTGTTTCTCCATGGTGGTTGGAGTGATATGTGAGCTTCTGGCAACCAACTGCAGTTTCTTGAGAGGTCACTTCGTTCATTACAGTATCATTCAGTTGGCATCAATTGCCGCTCTTCCACGCACAAACATCATCCATTAGGATGCAGTTTTCCAGCTTCCAGTTGTTTAATCCGAGTGCAGCAGCATAGCATTCACTGTCCAACCGGCGACTTGAGTGATCTTGGTCACTCAGGAAGTGTCGCAATCTCGGGCGGGTAAAACTCAGGTGCCGATGGGGCAGTCCTCGTCACCGCAGATGGCAAGGCGGGCAGGGCGGGCAGCTGAGTAAGCCGGAGAGCTCGGACGGCCCAGAGCAACGACCCATATGACTAGCCGACCCCTTTGGTATTCCAAAGTGGTTTAATGTGGTTTGTGTATTTTATGTACTTGGATTTGCTGCTAGGAAACCCTGTAGGAAGGTTCCTTGAAAAAGTGAGGTATCGAAAGAGGGCGTGTGGCTCGCCTGTTCGTGTGCACCAAATCCCAGTATTTGACTGGGCTATAGGTAGTCAGTCAGTTCAAGGCCGTTGAATGGTGCCCATTCCATTGTGATCTACTGCAGGTTTGCCTGTACACAATGCATAGGCTCCTCTCTCAAGTTGAAGGAGCTCCCCCTGCAGGTTCTTTGCAAGTGCGAGTGAAGGCATTTGCAACTATAGCCTGGATCAAAAGTTGACCAGATCTTACAGCCCAGGGTTTTGCATACAGACCACGCTCAAAGGAAGTACCATCACTGGTTGGAGACGGTGGCCAACATCGATCAACCAATACTTGAAAAAGAGTCACAAATAAGTTGCACCATCATACCATCGTGATGATGTCCTATAGGTCAAAGACCTCATTTTCCTGGAGATAATCATACAAAAATACTCAGTAAGATAAAGGACAAGGTTTTACTTGCGAAACAATGCGAAGACTTGTTCCGTTTCTTTTTGGGAGTCCTGTAGTTCTCATGTTTTTCCGTGGCTTTGGCCGCCCCAGTGCTGACGGCGTCGGCGTGAGGTCCTACGACAAAAATCCTGCCCAGTGCCTGGGGGCCCACGTCGCGAGCGCGTTTGCGATGGCGCTACAAACGCGTTGCTCCAAACGTGTGGCTTGGCCATTCCACCAAGTCACTTGAGCAACTGGCTAAACTCTCCATCAAACGGAGTAGTATTGGAGCACAGTAGTATTCCACCCAGGCACTTGGTCGGTCGCAGGTCATGTAACATGATGGGGTTTTGAGTGCGAGCAGCATGACAGGCCGTGAGGAAAAAGCACTCCGCACAGCTTCACAAAAACTGTCTTCGGTCCAGAAGTTTCAGTCATTTTGTCGGGAATGTCAAACAGCAAGAGTCTCAATATGACTCAATGTCCAGTCCCTTTGGTTATCAAGCATTGCGTTGCTTGTGGATTCCACTCTCATTGGGGTTGTCAACCCCAAAAGGACCTTCCTAAAAAGAAACAACTGGTTCAACCCATTCAACGCCCACCCCCTCACACCTCACACCCACGCCCATCCCAGCGCTCGCCCATCCCTCATCCAAGCCATCCCAGCCTGCGCTCCCCCATCCCAGCACTCCCCCTGGAGGCCTGGGGGGAAGGTGGTGGACACCACGGGCGCGGGCGATTGCTTCCGCTCAGCCTTTGCGGTAGCACTGGTGGAGGGCAAACCTCTGCAGGACGGCCACGTTCACCGGCTCGGGTAGGCGGCGGAGGGGAAAGCGAGCAAGCGATGGCGCAGGTGAAGGGACACAGGATTTCGGAGGGGTTTGGGGGCCGAGTGTTGGGGTGACATCAAGTCATATCAAGTCGCATAAGTGCCAGATAAGATATAAGATAAGAAAGTATGCGGCATTGTGTAGCAGTGTAGCGCCACTCTTTGTTTCTTGGTATGTTGAATGGGTTTGGGCGTTGCCCCCCAGCGCCCAAAGGTTGGCCAACTCAACCCCCCTTCAGGTTTTTCGATTCTCACCCATGAGACGTTTTTTTTCACCCGATTTCTGGCTCTCGACGTCCACGCCTTACGGACGAGTCTTCCCCTGGTGCATGAGGAGTGCCTGAAGTTTGCCGCAGCAGCGGGTGCGTTGACCGTGCGAGACCGAGCCACGATCAATTCAGGGTTGCCAAAAGACATCGTTAATTGGGGAATTCAATTCTGCGGGCTTGTAATGATGTACGTTTTGAAAGGGTTTGGTCTTGAAAGCATGCCGCATCATGCTGCGAATCAGTGTGTGGATCCATAGGAAAAAACACGATGTCACCGAAAAGATGCACCTGGGCATCTTGGAAGGAGCCAGCCATTTTTTCGACATCATGCGACAAAGCATGGCAGTGCGATCAGTTCCTGCATTCTTCCGGGCTCAGAAGTCCGGAACCAGAAGAAACAAACCAACCAGCAGCTCACTGAGCGGTGGACGTCTGGGTGCCGGACGAAGGTTCGTTCGCACGTCGCGAACGCGTGTTCTCCACGGCTGGCTGGGACGAATCCAAACCACCCCCACTCCATGCAACGAGTGGCGCAGTGGCGCCATTTGAGACACGACTAATGGGACTGCCATAGGACCGATCAGGCCAGGGGTGGTGGGTTTGTCTTTCTGGGGCGGCAGTCCTATGGCAGTCCCACGGAGTGCCCGGGATGTGCGTCGCCCTACCCGGTGCCGCCCTACCCTCAGGTCTCGCGGCTGGGGGCGGTGCCGAGCCTGCCATCGAGAGACGAGTCGAGCCTGCCCAGCGGGGTGAACGGGGGGTACCGGGGTCATGGGGCGGGTGTGTGGCCGTGTGCCAAGTGAGGGTATTACTACTATATAGGAGCCAAGGGCATCGCATCGAGCGAGTAGCTACTAACGTAGCTCCTGGCCTTACTACTAGTAAGTAGTAACATCATCTGCAAGATGTGAAGACGTAAAGAACATGACAGAGAGACCGAAGGTCATTGAAGGTCATGTTTGTGGTCAAGAAACCTTCAGGAAGACGTATATACCTCTATATGAAGCAAAACGTGTGCCTTGTGCGTGATTCGATGTCTTCAATCCGGGTTAGGAGCCCGGACATGCCGACACGGGTGTCCAAAACCCGTTGTGCACCCGATCGACCAAGGACCGACGCGTTGGCCAAAAGCAGCTAGTGGATGAACGAATCAGCGACCGGATGTGGAGAAAAAGGAACGCAAGATGTGGAGAGCAGGATCCGTGCACCAGTGCTGTTCGGGCCCATGATCCACAGAATGTTTAAGGTCCAAGCCAGGTTGTCAACATTGACAGCGCACAAGCCTGCGTTCCAATACTCCATGCATCACAAACCCTGTATGGCGAGTTGGCTATGTATCATCAGGTCTGCTTTCTACCGCGCCATTCTGTGATATTCTGTGGGATGCACAACTCGCTCCCACGCCCGCTTTTTTGTGAACGTCCCTGAGCAGTTTAGATAGTCATTTGGCCAGTGTATCACACCATCCAATTGAAACGGGCATTTTCGGTTCAGATGTGTTGAGCTCATGCCATGCTATCCCTCATATTCTTAGAGGGGTCATCAGTTTTGATTAAAAACACCTTTAAAAAGAAAACACCCCAAAAAAAACACGTGAAAAAAAGAAACAAACGCAAAACACAACTTGCTAACCCTTTCAGGGCTTATTCCACAGATTGTTTGAGTGTTAAACCGCATTCCGCATGTTCGCTTTGCAGCACAGAACTCCCACGTTCCGGCGCTTGGAACCCAGACACGAAAGGATCCGATGTCAGAGCAGCCGTAAAGAGAGCCCCCGTTCAAATAAGATAGAAAAGTGGATCCCCACCAATTGCTGTGTTGGCAGAAAACCGTGCCGGCACTAATTGCGAAGAACTTCGAATTTGCACTGTTGGCTGAGCTTTAGTTCTCAAATCACATTGTCAAGACGCATCCCGACCACAAGGTTTGGCACGGGAGGGAACCGGGAAGACTTTCCACACAAGATCATCGATCCCCAATATGCAATCAGCAACATTGATTCCATTAGTTCGGACCCATTTATGTTACTATTACATTTCAATGCCTGCGGCAACTTGCATTTGCTTTCCGGCGCCAAAGGGCAACAAAAACATTTGGGCCATGAGCCCCAAAAGGGTATCCCAAGTTCCATTCAACACTTGTGGACTTGCACCAGTGATGGCTCTGGTCGAGGGGCAGCGAGTCAATGTCACCGGGGGGAAGTATGCAGGAAAAGCAACTTGGACTTGGAGATTCTGAAAGGTTACGTTCGGGGGACGTTGCCAATTGTGATGTCATCGGGTCTTGGTCAATGGTGATGTCGGTGAGCTGTTTGTTTGATCATGTATGACAGATGAATAGCGCATCGGCCAGACCAGCACGGACATATGACATCATCATTTAGAGGTTTGCTGTAATTCTGATGCCACTTTGCACGAATCCAAGTTGAGTCCTCTTGCTTCGTGGGCATATTGTGGTCGGGGTCAGCTTTTCTTGACCTGTTATCCATGAAGCAGTTTTCGATTCTTCACGAGCTGGGGACCTTAGGTCGGTACCGTCACAGCCTTGACCCCAAAGATGGTGAAGCTTGACCTGGACGGGCAGGAGGCCAGATGCTCGGAGAGCGGCGCCGAAGCGAAAAAAACATGTGGGGCGATGTAGTGGACCCAGTGGTTGGACAATCGCACAAGACCATTGCGTCATCGTCGCATCGTCATCCTGAATGTCATCCGAGGATGACCACCTTTTTTGGGGGTAGTGCAAATATGTGTGGCCTCAGATATGACCCTTTGCTTCCGCATGGTGCTCTGGCGCGACTCAAACAGGTGACTATCATGCAGAGCAGCGTCAAGCCGATGCCAAGCGATCCAACATCAGCCCCCGAACCCGAGTCGAAAGCGGCTTGATGGAGAAAGGTGGAAGGTGGAGAAAACTGACCATGGGCTCAACATTGGGAAATTAGATTTCTGAAATGGTTCAGTTTTTTAAATTCAGTTTTTGGTATCATAGATCTAAGTTCCCAATTCCCATTTATTCTGAAATGGCTTTGTTCAGCTTTGGGTCTGTGAATCAGTGAGGCTGCAAAGAGCAGGAGCATGGATTTTTAGAACTTTGCTGGTGGAGAAACTTTGGGAAAGTACTGTAAAAAAGAACAAGACCCTCTCGAACCATCGGAACCAGCAAAGATACGTCATGAACTGAAATAACTGAAAGCTGTCTTTCTGACGGATTTCTTACTTTTCGGCTTGAATCTGATTCGCTACTATGAAAGGCTTGTGGATTCCAAATGGGTCGAAGTCGAAGTCACATTTCCCAAGCATTGGTTAAAGGATAATTTATGGTAAAATGATGCAAAATGTATGATTTTGGATCTAAAAAATGCTTTCCCAATGGATGGAATATTACCATGGACTTGTCATAAATTTCCCATGGGCTTATCAGAAGTCATCCTTGTCGTTTCATGGAGGATCTTTTGCCGACAACTAAAGGTTTTAAGTTCTGTATTTTTTTGAAGTACATGAAGCTCAAGGACCACAACTGTCACGTCTCTTGCAAAGAGTGGGTTTAATGAATGGATGGCAATTGAGGAGTTGCAGAGGCTAACCATTGGTTCTCACAGTTTGCGCAGGCCAACCATGTCCACCAGCCAACTTCGACTCGGCCGGACTTCGAGCCTCGAGGTGGTTCCAGATCGGAGCCCAGTGGGGTACCCAGCTGAAGCGAGCAAAACGGACGAGCAGAAGAAATTGAACGCGACTTGGTGGAATTGAACTGCAAAATTGTGACTGGCGGTGCCTTGTGTTTCTCTCAAGTTTTTGGATGAATCTATGTGTTTGATGAGTATCTAAGATGGTGAATCGCTTCATGACGATCCTCAGTTTTCATTTGTTTGCACGGTTTCCCTTGTTGTAGTGAGTGTCCTTTCTTATCTTTCTTATTCTTTCTTCAACAAATTCAAAACCCCCAAAATGCGCATGATTTCTTTGCCTCTTGGCCAGGAAGGGGATCGAGTGGCCATCACAGGAGGCAAACATCAAGGAGATGCAGTGAACTCGGGATTATGTTTAGCTGTTGCAGATGGGTGGGTTCTTTGACGCAGCCATGCCGCAATCCACACCCGGAAATTTTATGAAATTATCTTTTTGGGGTGCTGACTATGCAGAAAGCAAGCCTGCAGTTCTTTTTTGCACAAGCCTAGGCAGACTAGGTTTGCCCGGGGCCTGCCAGAATCATCGCGAGATTCACCAGATCGTCAGGTTAGGTTGCAAAATAATCCTTGCGCAGGAGAGACTGGCGTGGTGGAGAAATGGAACAAGAGCAAGGCAACGATCAAGCTGGATGGCAATCACAATGATAAATCAGTTGCCTGGCATTTCTGGACTCTGCAGGTGGGCGCATGTTACCTACGGCGAGCGTCAACCCTGGTCATTCTTGACATTCTTGGCAATCAGCCGTGGGTACAGCAGTTCATGGAGACGATCATGCTAGAGTTGGCGGTAGGATGGCGTTTCACATGATTCCATCGTCCTGAGTATTATGATCTTACAATATCTTACAAACGAGTATGGCCACCGCCTTGACCTCCAAGCGTGCAAGCGCCAAACGAAATCAGATGGCGACCTCCTGATTCCTCAAAGAAACAGAAAGAAACAAAACATCCTATTCTACCCGGCTCCAAGGTCCAAGTGGAACATCACTATGTCAGTTTCGGGAGTTCTTGCCCCACCAGCGTAGCCACCACGGCGCCGCAGACTCCTTTGGAGGAGTTTTTTGAAGACAATGATGAACCACAAAGCTTCTCCATTTACGAAAGAGTGAAGAAGATCATTTTGGGAGATGACAAAAAAACTGAAGACGCTTGGGCCATGTTCATCGAGATGGTTGAAATTATGCATGTTAAAAAAAGGGTTGTGCAAGTGATTGTTTTTATTCCAACAAATTCATTTGAGAATTCCTCCTTCAGGGCCTGATCAATGCCCCGCGGAACATCCACATTTTGAGACGTTGATGTTCAGCAAAAGACACGTGCGGTCAGCTCGGTCAGCTCGGTCATGTCAGCGATGGTCGAAAGTGTTCAAGAACCGGTGTCAGAATGCCGATGCCACACCGTGGCGATGCCATAATTGTGGGGCGAGCACTCGTGCTCGTGACCTTCCAGAGATGTGGAGATGCTCAGAGCAGCACGTTGTCCATATCGGGCATGTCATGTGTGTCACGTACTTGCCACATATTTACCAATCCCATACACTCCATGTATGCCTACATTGACCCCGAAAACCACCCCAATGTAGGTAAATATGCCATACATGAAGCATTTGGGAATTGGCAAAAGGACTTTTGCCGCGGCCGTGAAGGTCTTAGATGTCCTCCTGGCTTCGGGGTCCAGAACGTCGCTCATCCGGTGAGGAATGTGGTCAAACGTGTTGCCCATCCATTTTGCCTAGGGTCGGTCTTGCCCAATGGATCGTCATTCGTTTGATGAAAGTGCCTAGTGGCCTAGTGGATCCGGACGTGGTTTGCAGTGGTTTGCTGTGGTTTGCTCGCTTTTCCTTGCCTACGGTACTCATTTTATATAGATGTTTATATAGATAGATGATAAGTGACTCAATTAAATGACCTTAAGAACAATTTAGTGACTTCAAAGGATCGTGCTCCGGCCGTCCTTGACGCCAAGGAGTGCTTTTTGGACTATCACTTTAGCGCCCGCACGGTCATTATGGAGAAGGGCTTGGGCCGAAAAGGATTTGAGCCTCCGTCCAAAGTCATCAAGCACCATGGAGACCTTCTGCACTTGGTCAGCGTGAAAGTTGAGAAACTTGGCGAAGACGCGCTGCGTACCCCAAAGGTTACAGCAACTTGGAGAAGGTCCGGAATTGTAGTATTGTTACAACATGCGGTAGTGAATTGTTTGGGCAGATTTATGTGTGAGAACGCCCGAAACGATCCTGCAGCCATATCTCCATATGCATATTTAATATATATATATTTATTTATTTATTTAATACATATATATCATATGTATACTTTTCATTTGCCCTGTTCCAAACATCTCATTTAGATCACAGTGGAACCGATCAGAAACAGCTGGAAAGATTCAGAGCTATTGTGGTTTCTATTCATCGCCCACTTGCCGGTGATGAGCGTGAAGCATGCTGGGAATTTGGGATAGTTTCATTTACCAATGTTTTTCATTGTCATTTGACTTTGCAGTCCAAGAAATGCTTGGACTCGCCATTTCACACGCCCAGGAAAGACGGTCTCCACTTCTGGGGCGGCCCCAAATATTGCATTCGGTGCGCCTATGTGAAGGAAACTCCTGGGAGGGCCTTGGAGGACGAGTTTGAAGAACTTGCAAGTTTCTCAGATTTGATACTTGGCACTTTGAACACGTTGATTCGTTGCCTAGTACTGAAAAAGTAGAGTTCCCAATCGTGCGTTCAATGGCGGAGTCTTTCTCCAATCACAGTGTCGGACATTTTGTTGTGTTTTTTCATCTCGAAAGGATCTCCGCTGGAACTTGACCTAAAGCAATGGACACCTCAGCGTCATGGGCCTTGACCAACAGATGCCGTCAATGGCCCCCGCGAGCGCGTCATGGCATGAGGCTTCCATGGTCCAAAGGATCTTTGAAAAGAATCCTCCAAAGTTCACGACATTCACTGAAACTGCAAGGAAAAGTGCTCGCAAAGTCGCCTCGCGCTTGGAACTTCTGCAAAGCCCTGGGCACGTCGTGAGCGGCTTCACAGCTGTTGCTGGGCAGCGGGACAACGTGAGCGAGTTGGATATTCCACATTGCCCCCATGTAGGTGGTTTTGGTTTTGGGGAGGTGTTCTTTGCTTCAATTTCAGCCATTTTCTTCCATTTGTTTTCTCTCTCTCTCTCTCACTGCTTCAGCTTTGAATTTACACCCAAGAAACCAGGACTTCAACTGATGCCGACTTCCCATAACATGCAGCAACGCCATAGCATGCAGTGCAGCTCCAGCTCCGAGGCTAACTTGGAAGCCATTCCTGAACCTTTGACCAAAGCTTCGGGAGGCTGTGGCTTCATTAATCAACGAGACCTGCAGCGGCTCACAGAGCATTTGGGGACGAGAACTGAGAAATTTAAGGCAGCGACCAGTGTCCAAGTGCGCATCTTTGGGGCAAGTTACTTGGCAGACACTCTGGGACCCTCAAATTGTAACAGAAAAGAAACTCGTTTTTGTAACTTGGCAGTGTTCCTTGCGCGTCATGTAGATGTTTGAAGATTATTGCTGAGGCAGTGGCTGGTTGTGATTCATGGAGAAAAATTGACCTTTAGATTTGGACACAGGACGACATGAATCGCATGGCGAATGAACAAAGTGTGACAGTGAAACAAAACGACCAAGGAGTCGGAGTTCTGAAGGGCGTCTTAACTTTGAAGGAAGGGATTGAGAAGATCCAATTTGCCAAGGAGATGGGGGGGTTGAAGGGTTTTGGACCATGACTTCCAGAGGCCCAGAAGGACTGTTCCAGGTGGCTCTCTGAGGTTCGATGAGATTGGGATTTGGAGGCAAGTTGCTAAGAACTCATGCGGTTCAACAAATCTGAATGAATTTCTTCAACGGCTATGGCAGTCTTCATCTGACCATGTGATCCGTTTTTTGCATGAACTGATTTGTTCCATGGTTTAGTTTTATCATTTCCATGTGTCCCTGTCTCACATCTTCTTACATCTTCTCACATTGGTTATCCTTTTTGTTCACCATCTTTTGAAATCTTCGGATCCATCCTTGATCATTGCATAAGATCATTGAATCCTTGGCCAGAGGAGTCTATGCAGAAGGTGGGCCCCAGCCGCATCTCTTCGGATGACCAAGTGTGGGTGGTGGTGACCAAAGTGTTTCCATCAGCAACGGGCCTGCAGATACTTGGCTTGGTGATGGGTGAAGTACTGGTCAAACATGTTGCAGTTTTGAATTGGACTTTTGAATAGGAAATTACCGAAACTCTGAAACTCTTGAATGACCCATTTTGATGCCAACTGGAATCCAATCTTGAGTTCTTGTTGTGGATGTTCTTCACAACGTATCCCAACCGCCACCCCTCACTTTTTCAGGTAGACGCTTTTTCAGGTAGTGGGTGAGATTGGAAGACCTACGAGCAATAGCAGGAACATTGGTTGGCTGTTGACTGGCATTCTTGGGTTTGATTCGATTGACATTAGTTTTAGCAGCAACGCACTCCCAGGATAGGCAAATGGTTGAAGACTGGTCGTCCACAGAAGGAGGGGACGTGAGGGCCATGGGGAGGAGGAGGTGAAATCGCCTGGCGAACTTCCAAAGCCATGCCGCTTTTGATGGATACGACGCGATCAGCAAAAGCGAAATCCTTCCTTGATTTTTGCGTGAAACAGTGAAACATGATCAAGTTGAGTGAGAAGTAATAGGAACTAATCTCAAAAGGTAGCCTTGGCTATATTTGGGATTTAACGTACTTAACGTGCAATTTCCTGGATGGCTTCCCGTGTTTTGGAGGTGCTTTGTTGCTTTTCTGTGGTGAGTTTGTAGTTTGTGTTGGTTGTGCGTGTTTCCTTTTTCGGCAAGCACCATCATCATCATCATCACCATCGTCATGATCATGATCATAACTCTTGTGGCCACAATTGTCGCCATTGTGTTTCTCATCATCATGGTCACTGTGGTCAGCTGCATTTGAGATGTGTGCTGAGTGCTGGTGCCAAAATGCCTAGATAGCCATCATCATCGTCGTTGTCGTCATCATCATCATCATCATCTCCACTGCAGGTTTGGAAGGTGTGCAGGCGTCAATTTGCTCAAGGTGTCTCGTTGGGTGATTGTATTGTGATTGGTCACCTCGGTGAGGAATAGCTCCACTCGCCACTCATGGACATGGCTTTTGGACATCGAGAACTGATCGTTGGCGTCAAGTCTCAACATCATTGACAACATGTTCACCATCACCGAAATCGTCGTAGTCATCGCCATCGCCATCGTCGTCATCAACCTCAGCATTGTCGGCGGCATCCTCCTCCTCCTCATCATCATCATCACCACCATCGCTGTCGCAATCACCACCATCGTCAACCTTATGATGGTGACTGACTATCGTGGTCCAGATTGTTGTCGTGATCAGTGTCGTGGACGTCGTCGCAGTTGGCGGCTGCATTGGGATGTGTGCGCTTGTGACATTGAGCCCAGGGTGTCAAATACAGCAAGTTGAATGCCGTCATCGTCATCATCATCATCATCATCATCCCTGTACTTTGGGCTCACCTCAGCGAGGAATAGCTCCACCTGACAGCCATGGGTGGAGCTATTGTTGTGTTTGTTAATCGCCGTCATCACCATAGTCACCATCATCGTCGCGACGTCGTCATGTTTCCAACCGCATCATCCTGTTTGCTTTTTGCGGCGTCAATGTTGATGCGTTCTCAGTCGTTTTTGACCTCAGGAACTGGTCATTAGCATCAGGTGTCATTGCCATGTTCAACATAATCTTTCTCATCGTAATCACCATTGTCATCATCACGTGCATGTTCATCGTGGTCATGGTTCTCGTCGTGGTCGTTGTCATTATCAGAAGAATCCTTAATTACTGTGGTCAGCTGCATCTGGGATGTGCGCTTGTGATCGCTTCTGTCAATTTGTCCAGGGTGTCACGTAAGTTAAACCGGGTCATTAGCCATCATCATCGTCATTGTCGTCATCATCATCTCCACTGCAGGTTTGGGACGTGGGCAGGCGTCCATTTGCCCGAGGTGTCTCGTTTGGTGATTGTATGGTGATTGGTCACCTTGGCAAGGAAGAACTCCACCCGATAGTCGTGGGTGGAGCTATTGTTGTGCTTGGTCATCATCACCATCATCACCATGTTCATCGTCATCATGATCATCTAGTTATCACCAGCGGCATTATCGTCCGTACTTGGCCTTACCTTTGTAGCACCTCCCTTCTCAAGTAGGATTTCGGGGGACCTCTTGAGGATAAGGCTCACTGGTTCTCTTTGACGAATAGTTGATTTGTGGGCCAAAATGTTGTTAACAACTCCTCCAAATCAGAACCAAGCAGAACGACCAGGCAATCGCATTTGTTTCAAGGTTCCCTGAGGTTCCGATTCCCAGTCCCCTGGGCCAACTACCCTTCTCTACCATTCGGTCATCTCGATGATTTGGTGATCGTACGTGGATCAATTCGATCGTTTCTATCAACTCGATCGACTCGGGTTCAAACCTCTTGACTCAAGGGTTCCACATGCGTTCTGTGAATTGCTGTTGCTCAGTTTGAAGGCTCTGAAGGAGAAGCAAAAGAAGTTGTCACCCATGGTGGAACGAGTTCTGAAGAGCTTGGAGATATCCTCCGAAGAGCTTGAAAGACACAAGAAGGAGACTTGGACATTTTCTTGCACCCTTTTTGAGACATGTTCAATTTCGATCAAAGTGCGGAGTTTTGGTGTGAACTTGTGGATCAGTCAATGAGTAGAAAAGTATGAAACAGTTGAGCGCTTGGATAAACCATGATAAAGCCGATTAAGACCAGTGGTTCCATCAATGTTTGTGTTGCTTTGAAATTTGAACACTAAACTTATTGAACCATTTTTTGATTCATCATTGAACTCACCATTAGAAACAAAAGATCAGATCATCCAAAAATCATCCAAACTTCGGTACCAGCCAATTTGAGGGACGTGATCCCTCCACCAGCTGAACCGGGCCTTAGGCCCGCTTAGGCCCGCAGCTCAGGAGGAGTTCCGGCAGGAGGCCTTCGTGGTGGGCGTGGCAGATCCCACGGGGCAGCTGCCGGAGGGGCAGATCTTCATCTCCGGTTTGCAGGAGCAGCTTTTGAGTCAAGGTGAGCAGGGTGGTTAGAGGGGAGGTTAGGGGTTCCGGGGCGGGTTCACATGGGAATGAAGACGAAGTCAAAGCGAAGACTCAATGTCTCCGTTCCTGACCGCCAGGCATGTCCGAAGTGCTGGTGACCCGTTGCCCATGCGTTCGCCCGAGCGATGGCAAGCGACTGCGTGTGGTAACCTGTCGTCCGCCAGGGATGGCTGAAGAAGTGACGTGGCAAAAGCCAAGAGACGAGACGCAACTTTTGATGTTTGGGGTTCAAGATCAGTACCACGAGAACTACCACAGTCTGCAGATGTTTGGGGTAAGGACATGGTGTGGATAGATGTGGATATATGATCAAAACGAATCAAAACTAGTCCAAACCATACAAAAGCACCCAAACTAGTACCAAAGAACATGAAGCTCATGTCTCGCACTGCGGAGGTATTCCAAGATGCGATGTCTTGATTGAAGTCCGCTGCATTGTAAAACATGGCCTTCATATCTGTGACACGGGACACGTTCCAAGAGCCGATGGGCATGTTGAACGGCCGGGCTCCGTAAAACATTCTACTCATATCCCTCACATGGCCTTCGTCTCCAAAAATGTGATGTTTTGGTTGAACTTCGCAGCAAAAACTTATATATATATATATAGAACCCAATTGACCCCTGTTTTGACCGGAAGCAACCATATTTTGGGTGGTTGGTGGTTCAATATAGAGGTCATTCAGGTTCTAGTTATATATATATATACTGTATATATTTGATAAAATTCCCAGATATTATCGCAGATATTCTTTTGAGACTGGCCTTTTCCCAGGCTTGGCGCTTTTTGACGTCCCGCTCCTTTGGCGAAGTGATCTTCCCCCGTGCCAGCGATGTGGGGCTGCCGGAGCTGATTGCTGAAGGAGATTTGGATGGGGACCTCTACTGGATCTGCCACTTGGAATGAGAAGAGATAGAAAATGATAGAGAAGACGATTGGAAAGCAAAGCTTGGCTTGGATGAATTGGATGAACTGGGATGGATCATGATGGATCATGATGGGTTGGAGCTGGATGCCGGAGTTCCGTTCCGGCGCAGAACCCAAGGAATGAACCTGAAAGCAAAAATCACCTGAAAGCAAAGGCGGTACGGAATCACAGAATAATTAGAAACAACCGTGAAAGCCAGTCAGATTTCTAGGCTTGAGTGTTTGGCCCTGATCCCGTTTGAGAAAAAATCCCCTTCTCCACGACGATTTTAGGTGAACACTTTTGCGAAAAGTCCAGGCAATAAAAGAAGAACCATATAGATCCCGAGTGGGTACCCGAAAGACATATGTGCATGTCCATAAAGCACAACATACGGACAATGATCAACTCCCCACATCGATATCGTGCAGAACCTATGTCGACAAGATGGCATGTCAATGGTGAAGGCATACAAACCGTGATGTGTTGTTCTTTTTTAGACTGCCATACAGCTCAACACACACGCAATCACTGTAAGTGAAGACACACCGGCACAGAATCACTATGGGTCCGCTGTAGGCAAAGACACTTGCATATGGTCTCAGAGGCCGCGGCGTGGAAACACTCCTCGATTGAGCGTGGCAAAGACACTTTGTTTTTCTTGCATGTCAGCTGGCGCAACCATGAGGCGATGTTGTGCATTTTGGGCCAACGTGCCTTTCTTCCAGGTAATGACGAAAGCAAAAGGTACAAAACTAGCCCAACCGAACCTATATCGCAAACATTGACCTCAACATCCCACAGGAAAAATGACATGCGCAAGTCCAGGCGCTAGACAAGTTCTGCCAAATGATCTTAAGCAAATCAAAGATGGACGAAGCAATATGCTGTGAATGATAACCAGCACCAGCAGCCACCAGCAGCAGCCACCAGCAGCAGCACAAGCAACAGCACTGCCTCAGCAGCAGGACCAGCAGGCACTAGCAGCAGCAGCAACAACAGCAGCACCAGCGCCAGCACCACCAGAAGGAGCACCAGCAGCACAAGCTACAGCATCACTAGTAGTATCGCACCAGGAGCAGCAGCAGCGGCAACACAAGCAGCAGCGCCATCAGCAGAAGCAGCACGCAGGAGCAGGGCCAACCACCAACAGCAACAGCGAGCAACAACAGCAGCACCACCACCAGCACAAGCGCCCAGTACGCAGCAGCAGCAGCAGCGCCAGGACCAGCACCACCAGACGGCCAACATCAACAGCACCCACAGAACCAGCACCCACACAGCACGAGCAACCAGCACCACCAGCACCAGCACGAGCAGCAACAACAGCACCAGCACCAAAACCAAGACCAACAGCAACAACACCAAAAGCAGCAAAAGGTGCTTAAGGAAAATTGAAGCTTTGCAATACTACGTTCAATACCAAAATCTCCGCCAAGCAGCGCCGGAGTAGCAAAAGACCCGATTTGAAGCAAAGTTTAAAAGGAATTTGAAAAGATAAGTGAAGCCAGAGATTTTCAGGAAGATTACGTTCCAATACTAAATCAAATAGAAACTCTTCCAAACACATACTTTTCAATACTACTTTCAATACGAAAATCTCCGCGAAGCAGCGCCGGAGCAGGAAGAAACGAATTGAAAAGGAAAAGTATAGTAAGAGGTTTCCAGGAAAATCCGCTCCAATTCTAAATCAAATAGAAGCTAGTCCAAAAACATCCTCGGCTCAAGACTACTTTCAATACGAAAATCTTCGCCAAGCAGCGCCAACACAGCACCAGCACAGCGCCAACACACCCAAAATCAACGTTGTACGACAGTTCGCGCGATCGACACGCGCAATCTCCGCAGCCTGTCACGCCAGCAACGCCAAAATCGAAATTTTACTACCATTTTTCCGCGATCGATACGCACAAAAGTGCTGTAAGGGTGACATGTTCGCAAACGTCTTCCGGACTGCAGCCGGCAAAAACCAAATGCATTTCTGTTGAATGAATTTGAAATGAAGTGATAGACATGAGAGAGAGAGAGAGACATTAGGGAAAGACATTCAAGAGAGACATTAGAGACAGACATTCAAGAGAGACGTGCAAGAGAGACATTGGAGAAAGACATTCAAGAGAGACATTAGAGAAAGACATTCACGAGGGACATATAAGACAGACATTCGAGCGAGACACAAGAGAGACATTCAAGTGCCAGACATCCAAGTGCAAGACATTCATCATCTATGTTGATAGTATAACGTCCACAACATCCAGACGTGCTGCTCCAGATGTGAAACAGGACAAATCAACTCCGAGACATGCAAGTCAAGACATTCCCTTTTAAAAAGCGCCCTTCGCCAACGTCTTTCGGGAAAAACTGACAAAGAGTCACCATCAAAGCGTCTCCAAACTGCTTCTGGCCCAGTGTATGGGTTATAGGTGGTTATAGCGTTTAGCAATCCGTGTCTCCGTTCATGTCCCGTTTGGCCCTTGATTGTACCCTAATTCTCAGGTTGGAATGCCAAGCTCGTTGCCACTACCCAGCCAGACGAAGTGACTGAAGCCGAAGGGGCCGAAGCCCCACCCACGCTGGCGGGCCGTGGGCCGCCATTGGGTGGTGGATGGTTGAAGGCAGCGCAGCTTCACATGCCACTTGAAAGCAGAGCGCCTTGCTGTGGTTTTTGGGCAGGTCTGTTTTCAAACGGTGGATGTGGTTTGTTTGGTTAGAGATCGACTTCACCTTTTTAGAAGGGATCTGTACCATGTCGACCCTGTTGTCGAACAGATTCTGCAGTTTGCAAGGGGCTTTTGATTCCATGTTGCCTTGGCTGTTAGATTCCGGGCACGGGTGTCCAAAGTCGGAGCGTCGAGACAGGAATGGAGACCATGATCGTAAAGCTTTTTGATGAAGGTTGGTTGCTTTGATCATCTTTGATCAAAGATAGACAGGATACGAAGGTTTACACTGTTCTTACTCTTCTGTATACTGCAGCTGGAAGTAACATTGACAGCAGGGGGTAATTCAGAAGGCATCTTCAGTGTTTTTTCCCAATCAGATCCTAAGGTTGGAAAGTTAAGCTTAGGGTATTCCAAGATAGCTACTTGATCAGGTGTGGGAGTCTTCCTAAGTTTTGGGCGACAGCTCAACCAAACTGTCGAAGGAGAAGGGTTGCAGGGTCTGAAGGGTCCCAGCATTCCGCAAGGGTCGCGGCGCGGCAGGTTGGCCGGAGAGGTGCTGAAGGAAGGGCAGCTGATTGGTCGCATCTACCGCGCTGCTGAGAAGCGTGCCATCGACCATGGCCTTCGAGATCCTGATGCTCAGGCGCTTGAGGGTTTTAGAAGAAGTAGCTGCCAGGTAGCTGAGAGAAATGGATTTGAAACCGATTTGAAGTAGAACTATAGTGGCTATACGACTCCATCATCCGAACACCTTTACAACCGGTGCCATGGTGATTCTAGTTTCATGTCGTTTTCACCCATCGTTTATTTGGAAACCGTGGATGCCCGGTTTTTGACCCGCCGAGGAAAATGTGTGTCATACAGTGATGCCTGCTGCAAATGGAAAGGGTGGTTCTCCGCCATTCTCTCAGGGTTTTCAAGCACGATTTGGTTTAGTCAATGCGCCGCCTTCCGCAGGGAATCCGGGAACCAGGTTTTTTCGTTCTTACCTGTAACAGTCAGTAAGCAATTACGTATAAGCCATATAAACTATTTTTGGACACTGCCTGTACAAAATCCACTGTTACAGGCAATAGGATAGACCCAAGGTATAAATCGGTATAATGACATCTTCAGAAGATATCTACACATGAATTAGAAATGGGATAGAGGCTGACTTTGGAAGTGGAGGTCCCCCAATTGTTGTTGGCAGGAAGTTTGAACGAATTTGCCATAAAACCCGGGACCGTCTTAGGGTGGTTTTATATTCATGTTCACCCGAAACAGACAGCCAGGTTTCATAAGTTGTATGCAGTTGTGTTAGTCGTGTTCCATCAAAGGAGGTCCTGTGATGTTCCCATCCTGCCGTGACTAGCCGTGACTCGCCTTGATGCAGGCGTTGTTTCGCGCCTATGTTCAAAGCATCGACACTGGAAAGCATGGCAATAGCATTGAGATCCCGCAGCACTTGCGGAAGGAAGTGGGATTGCAGTGATCAAGATCCAATGACCGGCGCGCAGGTCGTTTGGAGATGAAAGGTCTGACCGATTGGAGGTCCCAACCATCTACACCCCCCATGTTGAACACAACGAAAAAGCTCCAGGCAGATCTTTTGTCACAGTGCGAAGATGGCAAGAGCGACTGAGCAGGAAAGCGACAAGACTTTGGGGTCATCTCGCATTCATCCATCTTGGTCGGAAGGTTCATGGGTTCCGTGGTGTTGCAGGATGTTTCGTGTGAACAAAGGACATGTGGCCCCCCTGCTTTGGTTGCGTGTTGCTTGTCAAAAGAAAATGATAGGTATTCGGTATTCGGCCTCAGATTGCGTTCAATCAGTGTTTTTCCCAGCGGCTGAATTGGAGAGTGGCGAAACATTGCTGAAGATTTAATTCATTGTACAGTTTGCATATAAATTAAAGGGTTTCATGCTCGCCGGAGTCTTTGACGTCAACCGGTTCCATTCGGTTCCATTACTTTGTCGATGTTTTGATTGTCAATGACGTTTTGACACCCTGCGGGGCAACCCTGGTCTCCTGGTTGTAGTTGCAAGGCCGGAATGTTTCAGGCATTTGATCGCGCCTTTGATAGGAACATTCTAGGTCCTGTTCCGATGCTATTATTTGGGGCGTGGGTTTTAGAGGCACCAGTCAGCATAAACATCACCATTTTGCCTCCATGTCACGTTCAATTTAGTTTGATGGTGGGAACCCCCTACGGTTTCCAGGTCCATCACCTTTCCAATCCATGTTGGTTCCCCTGAATGGCCTTAAGAATTGCAGCGCCAAAGTGGCTTATTTGGGGTTTGGGTGCATCCCAAATCAGCATAGTCAGCATCAGTGGGCATGTTTTGCTCTTACAACCTGGTGGCCGTCCACCTAGATCTCAACGGCAGACTGTTTGTGTGCCGTGAAAAAGCTGAACTGCTTGCTGATTCCATTGTTAGGCAGAAATTGGGTGGGGATATGAAAGAACCGGATGAGCCAAATCCGCAAATGCCGGAAAGTGCAGTGGGGCATATTCGTTGCGATTTTGCTACTGTTAGCCTTTGGTTGTCAGCTACACAGCTTTCGCTAGAGGGGACCTTTTCACTCTGGAAGACCTCGCCATGCGTGGCTTATAGGCTAAACTGGTGTTGCATAGGCCGCACGTAGGCCGAACATGCTTAAGGTTCAGCAAAGATGTTCTTTTCCCCAAGCAGTGTGTGCACTGAAGTTCCGTAGATGTGTCCGCTTGAGATTAACGATCGCAAAGTGCAAAGGTTACGGAGATGCAAGGTGCACCGCCAACATTCCAAAAATGGAGGAAGTCGTTTTCAAATCAATTTCCATCTGGAGGAAGTCTCTTATCAGTGAATCCGTGCTCTACAGCTCTACAGCATCCCGCCATTGGAGGACCTTTGGCAGCAGTACATCCATTTTGATCGGTGTTCTTCACCGGAACTCGCTGGGAGCACCATGGATTTGTAGGATGAGTTGCTTCCGATGTCGTGGGATGCCCGGCCGAAGATCGATCGAACCCGATTTGTAGCTCTACTTCAGCATGAAAGCCCTTATTTCTACTTCAGCATGCCCTTTTTTACAGCATACATTCCAATATAGGGCATCAGTTGGAGTTTGCTGAACACCCTCCACAACACATTCTAAAGCCATCCACGTCCACGTTCCAACCACCATTCGTCGCCCCATGGCATGCGGGATGCCCTTCTCGTCCTTGGCTTCATCGACCTGGCGACTGCGGCTTGTCCACCCCACGCTCCATGTGGACCCCCACCGCTGGACGCTGCTCGGTGCGGTGTGTGCCGATGAGTGGTGGTTCTTTTCGGTAGGTGTTCTACTCCTTTGCCCTACTGAGTGGTGGTTTTTATATGATCATCTCCAGTTGAATAATGGTCCTTGACATGAGTGGGAGCAGGGATCAATTTCTGGCTTTGAAATGTCTTAGTTGCCACAGATATAGCTTATAAATTTGTTTTGTTGAAAAACTTGAGAGATTGGAACAAGTGCCTGCTGGCTCAGGTATGTTCCAATGGCATGATTGTTTTTTCACTTCAACATTTGGATTTCCTCAGGTTTTTCTCATCATGGCGTGACAATCCGGTTTATTGCAATCTGGTTGGCACGATCACTTTGATACCACCACGAACAGGGTCATGTTCAAACAGGTCTTCAACTCTCAAGTGACGAGTGAGATTTTGCCGGGTTTGACATCCCAACATGGGCCGCCGGAATTGGGATATATGACCATGATTCCAATCCGACAGTGACACTGCACGGCAGTGACAGCTTTCTGCAGCAGAGACCTTGGTGCCAAGATGCTCAACTACCACCCAAAATCCCAACGCAATGGCCCAGCCGTGTTTGAACCACATCGGTCCGGAACACACCACCTGTTTTGGATAGCTGCGGTTGACAGCCTGAGTGCCTCGAACAGCGGCTGGTTGAGGATTACAGCTCTACTGGCTCACGTGCAGTCTTTGAGCACGCCAGCCATGTCTACGACCTGGTTGCTGATGGCATCGAGATGGCAGAGGCAGCGGGAAACAACACCCGAGCGAGGGTAGCTTGGACGGACGTGTGGTTCTTGGTTTGTGGGTAGGTTTTAGATGACTAGCAGTCCCGAAACACCAAACAGGGTCATTTCTTCATAGTTCTTTGTTGCTTCAGTGGCCGCACACGAGTTGAACTGAAATGTTCTTGCAAGACTTTCCCATCCTTTCTTCAAACACTCCATGTATGGAGTAATTGCTTACATTGTGAAGTGGAGTGGTTTAAAACAGGGTCAATGTAGGTGAACATTCTCTACATGGTGTGTCCATGTCCATTCCTATCCAGGGCCTCTCCAGGATCCACCGTCCGGACTCTTTTTGGCGCTGGACTTCCTCAATGAGCTCAGGGACTTCAATTGCATGGTGAAGCGCCATGGCGGACCAGTCCACCGCGGACCCGGACGTCGCACCGCACGGTCGCGGACGTCGCGGAGGTTTTTTGAGTAAAAGAGGGCAGAGGACTGGTCGGACTCTGGCTTTCACTTCAAGCTCACCGGGTCGTGGCAAAGGAACTTCAGGGTTGGGAAGATTTTTGGCGCTGGCTCCAGAACTTCAGCTTTCAACATGACTTTGAGACTTGAGAAGCTGGTCAGGAGTATCACGGGACTGGTCAGGAAGTTCAGAGATCGTCCCCTTTGATGATCTCAGGTACAGGGACTGCTTCCAGGACTTCCCCACGCAGCTGGACGACGGTTGTGTCAAGCTGCAGGCGGCCTGTGAGCGCGTGGAGGATTGCAAGGTGAGGCGCCGAACTCGACGTCGATCAACTCTTCGGAGGGCCGGGGGCCTCGACATCATAAACGGCCGGTCTCGTTGTTGGTCTCTTGTGTGGTGTCCGATTTGCTTCACTTTTTGGGAGGGGGACACTGTTGATGGAGTTGGGATCACAGCATGAATTACAGTGCGTTTCAGAATGGTTTTAGCTTTCAGCAACTAACATCAACTAACTCTATCACACCTGCTGTGATGGACGTGGCAACAAACAACGAAAAGGGAACTTCCCACGGCCTTCACGCGAACCCGGCCCCGCGTCAGGAGTCCATGGCTTCCGTGGCGGTGTGCGCCAGCTTGGAGCAATTGGGCCACGCCCTGGACAGGTGAACCGAAGAAAGCACCTGGAAGAGGGGATCATGATTGTTTAAATTTGTATGATGTTGGTTGGTCGGTTTTGTGTTTCTGACGGTTTTCGAAGACCGGAGAAAGTTTGGGAGATACTTTAAACTCCCAAAGGCCCAAAAGCTGAATCAAACTCGAGCTGGATGGTCCTTACCAGCCATCTCCAATCCAGTTTTCTTGTTTGGGTGGGTTTCATCAACCGTGAACATGAAACTGCTTCTGAGAATCGGTTTTTGGGGCATCATACCAAGCAAACTGTGGAAGTTTGTGGAAGACTGGTGGAAACAACAGCAACTCCATGTGCCCAATTTAGCAATGGTCAAAGTGTTGCCTCTCTATCCGACCTCACTCAACCTGGCAACTCAACTCTCCTCAAATGGGTTTGCTTGTCCCTGAGTTTTGTGCCAGGATGGCTGGCAGTGCCGCCAAGCTTTTGTGGCAGATGCGGCGGCTAGCGAATGCGCCCACGTTTCCAGGTTGTTGTTGTTGGTCCAAGCATAAATGTAAATCCATTGGACGGTTCAAGCAGATTCTGCAGAGTATCGCCAACGAATGGTCCATTTTGACATATTTTGACCACATGCTGCCCCGGTACAGTAGTGGGGTGCCATTTGTTCTGTTGTGGCTAGTGATTGAGAAGCTGTTTGCGAGAATGGTTGCCTGTGGGTGGTGGTGTGGCGGTTGTGGTCCTGTCGAATCATGTGCACAATGTATTATGTGTATATGGTTGTCGATCTAAAGGTCCTTGACAGGATTGTTGATGAGGATGACCCGGAACATATCAAAATCTCATTTGGCGAAAGTTTTTTTGCTGACACCCAGGAGAAACAAAAGAGACATACAGGGTGTCAACAGTTAAGTAGAAGACACATGCTGACAAGCAGTGAAGTTTTTATTTTGTATTTGCCAGTCAAGAAGAAGCCATTGACGTTAACAACATTGATATCCATCATGCAACATACATGGCACACATAAATACAACATCTTTCGGCGAAAGATAAACGCAGGAAGGCGAAAGTTTGGCTAAAGTAATTTGTGTTTGGCTAAGATGACGGATCCGGGATAAAGGAATTTAGATCAACACCATATTTGTTTTTTTTATAGTGGTACACTAATTTGAGGGCTAGGTATTCTGCCTGCCCCATGTGAATGAGCATTTAGCGATTAGATGTTGAGTGAGTTTGCTTGACCTTTTTTCATTTTTCGTTCTGACTGTTGGGTGTTTGATGACGTCCAAGGGGTTTGCTCAAAAAGGCCAAGCCCCAGCAAGTCCCAGCAATAGAACTTCTGGCTTGTGATGAAGGGTGCCCCTCACAGTTTGCTCGTAACATGCCTGTTCACCTCGTGTGACTGGACTTACGGCTTTTGGCGTTGCAGGCATGAAATCAGCAAGTGACG